TTCTATATATAATATAGATCCCATATTATTAATATTTTATTAAATTATATTAATATTTATAAAAACTTTTTAAAAATTCAGGCAAATTTGCCTGATACTATAGCATAATTCTAGCTGATTTTTAGAACATATAATTTAAAAATCTATCTCAGCATTATAATACTGATAGTATTATATCACTAGCAGAGAACTAGCAGAAAACTAGAAAGGTTCTATTAGTTTGCCAGTTCTGGATTACTTTTATGCTGGTTTGGATATCAAGTTATTATATTCAAAGATTTGGCTAAAATTATAGAATACTGCTAGCTATAATTAACTGAATTTACTATGTGTCTACTATTACTTCAAAGGCCTAATCATAGTTTAAATATACTTGTGCTAGTTGAGATAATGAGTGTATTAATTTTTGAATATCACTAAGAAATCCTCTTGTCACTATAAAAAAATTTCTTAGTAACAGCTCTTAGTGACATCTTCATGTACTTTTTCAAAGTTTCATAATACTTAGTTATCTTCTTTTATATCTTTTGTCTTTGCACTAAGAGTCACTAAGAAAAAGTAAAGTTCTAGAAAAAAAAATTAATTTTTTCTATAGATATTCCTATGTATATGTATTAGTATATATATGCTTAGTGTGAAGTATGTGTGCAATAATATCAATTAGAAAAAAAATAAAAAAGTAAAGAAGTTTGAATTTTCTTAGTGACTCTTAGTGACATAGTAACACCTATCTGAAACTTATTCTGTGGATTTGAAATAGCAAAATAGCTATAAATTTTGTTACCAAGAACATCACTAAGAATTTTTTGTTACTAAGACTTTTTGATGATACTCATTAAGTTATATTATTTTTGTTTACCTTTATATTATCTACTATTATCTGTATCGAAGCCAAGTCAGCTAGCTTTTTCTGATAGTACTGTTCTATTTTACAATGTTTTCTTGCATGAATATCACAAATACCATATTTGGAAAAAGTTAATTTACCACATTCATTACAAGATATACATGAGAGAGAGTTCTAATAAATTTAGTATCCTTCTGGTCAGTAGCATCCCCGATTGCAAACTTCACTACTCCTGATTATATAATAGACAATATGATAGGAAGTTGCATATTAATAAAAACAAGTTAGAAATATTATCTGAAGGGAATGAGAAAGTATACCCTTCGATACAATTTTCTTTGAGTAATATTTTCATGAAATCAAATTCAGCCTAAGTACTTTCACCATCTGTATCATTATTCCTTTCTGGTGTCTTTTGACTTTTGGTTCCAGAACACATAATAGAGGACTGTCAATAACTTCTGATTTATTATTAGACAAGCAAATCATAAAGTCAAAAATAGTTTTATCTTTTAAATATATTGCTTTTTTACCTATATATAGGAGCTAATCTTTTTATCAAACTTAGGCATCCCTAGTATCACAAAGAGAATAATCATTTGTTTGCTATATTGTCAATAATACTATTTCTCTAGAGAGATACTGAAAGTTTCTTACAGACAAGTTCAGTGAATATTGCAACCTGAGCAATATTCTTAAGCATTATACCAGTAGTAGAAATGTGAAGAGATATTTTTTTTGCATTAGTACTACTAGCAACAGTAATACTATTATTTTTCTACTTTGAGAATATTTTAAGACAAACATTTCTAAAGGCATGATTGAGTATATCTAGTATTTCTTTACGCATAAGCTTAGGTTTGATGCTATCATGCACCTCTTGTAATAAATCAAAATCTTTAATGAGCTGAAGAGGCTCATCTCTATTAATGAATTCGTTTAAGGAATAGCTTTCACAATCTGTAAGTA